GTGGAGAGGGTTAGCTCAGGAAGGGGTCCGAGGTGCTGCCCCGGCCCTCCTGCGCCCCCGCAGCAGCTCCCCTCCGTTCCCTGAGGGCTCCTGGTTCAGCATGTCCATGTCCCCAGCGCCCCCCAGGATCCTCTTGGGGCCGGGGTTGGGGCCTGAGGGCTCGCTCCTGGCTGCTGTTCCCATGCCTCGGATCCAGTGTCTTCTGCCTGACCTGGATCCCGCCTCTGGCCCCTGGAGCTCTTTGTCTTTCAAAGGTTGTCTGGCTTTTTTTGATCGAGGCGCATCAAAGAGCAGGTGGGAGCATTCACCACCAAGGGAGGGTTGGGGTGGATGAGGGATGCTTTCACCAGAGCTTCTGGATGTCAAAAAGATTAAGAAAGTGACAGTTTGGAAGGCAAGGAATGAGCTTTGTGATTTGTGGCTCTAGAAAAAGCTCTTAAACCTTTCAGATCTTGACAGGATTTTACATTATAACTGCAAGGACTTTCCCTCAGCTTGTATGTCTTGAAACTTCCCATCCCTTCACTAGGCTTGGTCTTGTAACTTGTTGGCCAAAGGAAACTGCTTACAAGATGAAAGGAGCTTTTGCTTGGCTGAATAGAGTCATAGCCATGGGCAGGGTGCTGTGGGGGCTGAATGCTGCCACTGCCAAGGCAGCTAAAGAGAAATTTCCCCCAGGAATGAAGTTAATCTTTGAAACTTTGCAAACTCTCCTTTGAAAAGCTTAAAAAATAGCAGCACTCTTCTTTCTTGCTGTGACTCAATCCCATAGTAGGCTTGGGTAGGGGAAACTTGGGAGGCTTCAGAGTCAATCCAAAGGCAAATGGGTGAGGGGTTGTTTCTGTGATGAAAACTTTGCAAAGAGACATTACAACTGTGTAGGGTTAGGAGTGTAGGACTAAAAGCAACCCCTTTGACATTAGATCAGTGTTCTGCAATCCTGGGTAACCTAGTGGTTGAGTTGGATCCAGAGGAGCCACAAAGACATTCATGCTGTGCCCCCATACCTGCCAATGAGGTCCCTCAGAAGCCACTATCCACCTTTAAATAGATCTGAAAGTGTTCAGAGTCTGAGAGAAAGAGAGGAGGAGAAGGAAGAATTATCTGAGTGTCTTGCTGCTTTCTTTTCCCTGGTTTGTTCTCTTTCCAAAATAAATAATTCTTGGTTGGCTGAGACCAAATAGGCCCAGGAATTTTGTTTTCCCATCTGTGTAATAAGCCTCTGCAAATAGAAGTTTGTGCTTTCCTGATCTTCTCTATTTATCACTCCACTAACTATTCAAATTTGCAGCTCTGGGTGGTTTCCTACACATTTTCTAGTGCTGGAGCACAGTGTTTTGGGGCAGGTGGGGGGGGGGAGACAGGCTGATAAAAATTTGTACCTCAAATTGCCTTCCCTTGTTGAGGTTTTCTCAGAGTAAACTGCTCTTAACTTTCTATTCTTGATTTTAGCACAGCCACTTGTAGTGTGGCTGGATGGCTTTGCAAACTCCAGCTGGTGTAAGAAAGGGATCTTCTTGCCAGGGTTTAGGTGGTGCCTTGAGACAGTTTCAGGCCACAGGATGGGAAGATGTCACAGGACACGGGTGGTATCGATGGACTGCATCCTTCCTCCTGGAAGAGAATTTCAGGGTTGATTTACTGGTCTTCTGTACTCCAGGTCTTTCCAACGGTCCTGAAGCAATGGAAGTAGATGGTCTCCAGGAAGTTCCCCTCTGTAGCTGTCGAATGGAAACCCCCAAAAGCAGAGAGATCACCACGCTAGCCAACAACCAGTGCATGGCCACGGAGAGCGTGGATAACGAGGTAGGAACCTGTCCTTCAGCTTCTCGCAGACTTTTCTACTGAGGACAAAGACATAAAGGACAAAAAGTAGTGCTGGGAACGTGTGGCAGGCCACGCTGCCTGACTGGGAGCCACTGGTGTGTGGGAATGGCAGGGCAAAGGTCTCTTGCTCTGCGTGCTCCCAGGCCGGAGGCCGCTGGGAAGGGAGGGGGTGCTGCTCTCTGCCCTTGGAGAGGTGCTGGCTGGGCCTCTCCTGCTTGGCCTGGCCTGGATCAAGTTGGTGTAACAGACACACTTCAAGCCAAGTGGGCTAAAACACATTCGCCTGCATCAAATGAGAAAAATCCAATCAGAGGAAGGTTGGAGCTGGTTTCCCTTGACTACGAAGGGGCTGATGCAAAACCTTTCTGCAGCCAGCTCTTGAGTTTCGGGAACTTGGCAAGCCCTCCGCCGGCTCGGGCTGCCCCAGCCTCTCTCTCCTCCTCCCCTAAGAGGCTTCTGTTACAAAGCTTCTGATGTCCTGGCAACCCTGCACAGCCTCCAGGTCTGGCTGACTGGAAACAGTTGCCCCTGATGCCTTCCAGTCAGTCACAGCTGGGCTAGTTGGGCTCTGCTGGTTCCAGAAGTGTGGAAGTAACTGTCAGAAGTGATTCCCTGACAGAGTCTGTGGGACAGGAACACATTTGGTAAATCCTCCTTTTACTGGGAAGCACTGGGGTTTCTTTTAAGCTTCAGCTGAGCCACAGTCACACTGCAGTGCTCTGATACTTGCTGGTAGTAGGACAAGGAGTGAGAATATCCCTGGTTCTCCTGCAGGATCCCAGGATAGGGGTGGATGGAGGGAGAAAAGGATAATCAGATTTGCATCCCAGCTCTGCTTCTGTTAGTAGGTGCTAGTACCTGAAGGGAATTTCCAACGTATGGTTACATTGATTCATTAAAGAGAGAATGTCCTGGAGCCTTACAGGAGAGAGGGGGACTGCAGGGTTTCCAAATAAACCCAAGGTATCTGAAAGAGTTCCTGCTGCTGTGTGCGTCGGTTTGACAGTCCTGTCCCCAGATAAATCAGAGAGAGGAGCAGCAAAGGCCATGCTTGGGGGTAGCTTCTTTTTCATAGGGGGATAAGTGACTCATAGATGTTATAAGAATATTATATGTGGGAATAGTGGGTTCTCCAGACTGTCACGTCCTTGGAGAATGTTATAAATAGTTATATGAGCACTCTGCTGCACTCTCTAATGGTTGGAAAATAGCAATTAATCATTTCATACCTTTTTCTAGGGTTTCTAACAAATCATATAGTGTGACATAACACAGGGACTTCTCCACTTGGACAGTGCAGCTTTTTCACATATCAAACAAATTTCCTTAGTTCACAAATGAAAGTCAGTGCCATGGTCCTTCCCTGCAGCCCCTGGGTCTGGGGGGTCACAGCGATCAGTCTGGCCAAGGTGTCACAACCCCAGGTAGACTTTGCAGCTGGAATCTGGGTAAGTTCAGCCAGAGGTGGTAGGGGTGAAACTCCATTTGCTTTTTCTGTAGGGATGCTGATTCTGCAGGAGGAGTGGAGTTCCTAAAAACAGGAGGGAAAGTCTAGTTTTGTTGAGGAAGAAGCAGCGAATCAGCTAGAGCAGAGGGACAGGCTTTTGGTGATGAGCAGGCACTGTGTTCCTGAGGGACTCCTCTGCTGAGGGTGGCAGCACACAGTAGACAGTGCACAGATTTCCCTAGGGACGTTCCCAGAGCAGCCTTTTCACATCTATATTTCTAGTTCATAAGTGTCCTCTGCAAAGCATCTGGGGAAATCAACGCTCTTAGCAACAGGAGCTTGGAGAACCCAAACCAGCATCGCGTCGTGCTAGCAGGTGGCAACTGGGGTGTGCAAATGGTGTGGATGTGAGAGTGGGGGCAGCAGAAGGAAGCACGGGTCTTCCTGACACAGCAGAGCCCCTAATGCTGCTTGGGAAAAAGTGAACCCCAGCTACAGAGCCTGCTGGCACGAACAGAACAAGGTGGTGCATGGGAAGACAACTTCCAAAGCCCAGAGCTGTACATGGGTGAAATCCTTCGGAAAACATGTTCAAACCCTGACTTTAGCTGAGCTCTCCTGAAAGCCTGGCCCTTCATCCCTGTGGTCTGGGCAGGGGCCAGTGCTGGAGCCAGTACAGGCTATAACTTCCCTGGCAATGAAGAGTGATTATTTTTCCCTTTATCTTCCTGTGACTTTATACTTTTTGAACAGTAACAAGATTTAGTGCGTATGGTCTTGTTCTCTCGGTCGCCGCCAGCCGCTCTT